ACTCGGTGTGCTGGGCAGATAGCTGCTGGAAAGAATGATGCATGCGGCGTAGGCGTTGCATATGGATCGAAAGTGGCAGGTCTACGTATGCTGTCGGGTCCCGTCAGCTCTATCGAGGAAGCCACCGCAGTCAATTATCACTACCAGGAAACCGCCATCTACAGCTGCAGTTGGGGGCCCCGCGATGATGGCAGGACTCTGGAGGCTCCAGCGCCGCTCATTAAAAAGGCAATTTTGAATGGGATAACGAGAGGCCGTGGGGGCAAGGGATCCCTCTTTGTGTTTGCCAGTGGCAATGGCGGCAACTTTGATGATCAGTGTAACTTTGATGGCTACGCAAATAGCATCTACACGATTACTGTCTCGGCCATCGACGCTACAGGAGGCCACCCATGGTATTCCGAGCCGTGCGCAGCAAATATGGTTGTCACGTATAGCTCGGGGGATAGGACCAAACGATCAATTGTGCGTGCATTATCAACAGTAATTGCCATTATTCACCAGTTTGGTAGGCGACAACTGATGTGGGTGAGAACAAGTGCACCAACGAACATGGAGGGACCTCTGCGGCTGCCCCGTTTGCGTCTGCTATATTTGCTCTTGCTCTTTCTGCACGGTATGAAGGCAGATTTACTTGATTGCCATCGACTCATTTTTCCGACCTAGGCCCGAGCTTAGTTGGCGAGACATACAATATCTCTGTATTCATTCCGCCGTTCCAGTCAACCTTGATGACCCTGATTGGGAAGATACCGCCCTCGGAAAGCCATATAGTAATAAATTCGGCTGGGGAAAATTGGACGCCGATCGCTTCGTTTCGGCAGCCATGGATTGGCAACTCGTTAATCCACAAGTATCTGTCAATCTTGAACGGATCATGTTGGAAAACGCCACAATATCGGAGGACGAGGAGCGCATGGCAGGAGGTGCTCTCATTGGGCGAAATGGGACGTCCAGCAGCGTCAGCGTCAACACCAATACCCTCGTCGAACAAGAATTCGACAACCTTGAGCATGTCACGATAACAGTCTGGATTAATCACCAGCGACGCGGGGACGTTGAAGTGTCGCTGGTGAGCCCGCATGGGATCCGAAGTATCTTGGCTTCGAAGCGAGCGTATGATACGTCTGAAGATGGGTTTTTCGGGTGGACATTCTCGACTGTCAAGCATTGGTAAGTTCTATTGTCCTCACGTACGACTAGCTTTCATCTGGGTCATGGTAGGGGCGAAGATCCTAGGGGCACCTGGTCCTTGGTGGTTTCGGACCAGAACGACGAGGAATATGAGGGAAGTTTCGTAGCTTGGCAGATGTCGCTCTATGGTTCAACCACTGCAAAACCCACACCAGAAGCGACCATTTCTACATCAGAATCGATTGCCTGGACCTCGGCGACGTCTCCATTACCTCCAGCTACCGAAACTGCTTATTATCTCCAGTCTGAGGATTTGAGCATGGTTGCTATAGCTGCCATAAACGAACACAAGCCCCTCTTCGTCTCTGTGGCTGCCTTGCTGCTTGTTGTCTTTGGCTTTGTGATGTGGACTTGGGCGTGGAGAAGCGAAACACAAAGGGGATCATATGCGTTACTGGCTACGCAACCCTTATCTCCTTGACATGATTAAAGTTTAACTATGTTCTTGTATACTAATAGGAGTAATTAATAACGGACGAAGAGACAGTCGTTGTGTTCTCCGGCTGAGGGATGCCTGAGAACAAGTTTTGTACTGCATGTGCTGGTTCTGGCTTGTAGAATAAGTTTATGCGCCGTCAGTCCTGTCAAAGCCGTAGCATTTGGAAATTATCTGGATGGTAGAGCGAATCCTCGGCTGCGTCGCGACTACCCTTGGTCGCTGAAAGTGTACCCTAGTCTTGATAACCATAGCCTGAAGAATGGCAGTTTTTGCTGAAGTGCTTTGGTGCTGCTCAGGTTTGGGTCAAGACCCGATAAAATTGAAAATCTGTCAACTTTATAAAGTCAGACCGATAGTTTGGTAATGAAACGAGGTACAGTGTATGCAATGGACCAGAAGTTCTCAATATCTGGATGTGCCTAACAATTACAGTTCAGAGAGATAAAAGGTGGTCCGTGCATCGGTGTATTGATGCCAAGGCCAATAGGGCTGCGAATGGGCAATCGACATCAGTAAGGTCTACGCACACAATACTGTTTGAGAACACGTCTGTAGATGAGCCACGACTTGCCTCGAACCCGCCGACCGATGCAACTATCAAGCTTCAGATATAACGCGGAAGTGGAGCAACCGAGTAACATTGACACCGCAATGCATTGAAAGCCTTGCATCAGTACGTCTGCAATGTTGTACTGTTGAATTTGGCGTCGGATTTTTCAGGTGTCACCAACACATCAGAGTGTTTTGGTTGACAGCACTGAGGAGGTTGAGTTGTCGTGCCAGTGGAGCGTGAGCGAGAAACGTTTCTGTTCAAAAAGCACATGACAAAAGAGATTATGAAAAAGGGCGTGCATGGCTGACCTCTTCCTGGGCAAGACTTCAGTCTCTTACATTCTCACATCCCAAAGGGCAGTCCGTGCGACAGGCATTATCTCTTCTAGATAGTATGCTGTGCCTCCCGCATTACAGACAGATGATTCCCATCCCAAGAACAGTGATGCGTTGACAGAGAGATGATTGGTCTCGATGCGTACAGCGCAGACAAAAGCGAGCTTAAATTATCGACGACGAAAGTAAACGCCGGTACCGAACAGCAGACCAGATTATGGAGATGAAGTGCCTCGACGAAATCTATTGGATGTGGCAAGAGATGTAGAACGAACAGAGACATGGAAGTCAAGTGGTACAGGCCTATCAGGCCGATAGTCCCAACTGGAGCGGTATTCGCCAAGTTTTGGCCTTCCTTCAAAGGTCAAGGCGTGGCAAGCGAGAGTGCAAGATAGGTCGACGGACCGTGCGTGATTCAAAGCAGACAGACCTCAGAGACAGAAGTAACTAGTATTCGCAGAGATTATGTTGTCCTATACGCGACCTAGCTTCGTCTTTCGGGAGAGCTGAGGGAAAGCGAGCTGGAAAGGGCCAGGGGCAAGACTCGAACTCGGAAACCACAACGGCTGACGGATTTGTGCTTCCGAAATCCGGTTAGTCAGGAACGGAACTGATCATAGCAGTAAAGGGAGGGTCACTCAAGGGAACTAGCTTGTAGTTATAAAGTTTTACAACCCTGCCATGCCAAGGCCGCCCGCCTAGCTCAATCGGATAGAGCGTCAGACTCTTAGGAGCGTTACGTCACGGTCACGTGCTTACGTAATCTGAAGGCTGCGAGTTCGACCCTCGCGGTGGGCTAGAATTACTTTTTTGTTTTTTTTTCTCTCTCCCATTTTGAAATGTGAAAAATGTCGTAAGTCCAAAATTTGCGATTTCCAGATATTTTTTCGGAGGTCCCAGGTGCTTTGCACAGGCCATGGTGCGATTCGCAATATTTCACAAGGCGTACTGGCCCCAGGGAATTATTTATAGGCACTGGTATGGACGACATGTACTCGTAATTTGCGACTGGTCGTTTGAGCAATGGCATGCATCCACTCCGAGGGTTGAACTCGCAGACTCAGGGCCAGGCCAGATTCTGTTTGGGGAATTGGTTCGCACGGTTTCCTCTTTGCTACCGAATGCAGGTGCACAGGCTTGCATCAACTTTTGTTCATTCTTTCTATCATGTAGGTCTTGTCGTCGTTCTCGAGCTGTGGGCTCACTTTGAAGCAGGACATCTCTGAGCGAGCGAATCGCCGCCTTGCAGCAAAAGACACAGACCTCTCCAAAGTCTTCCCCACATTCTAGTCCGCGAGCCAACGATGGCATGGCAATCACGGCCAAAGTCAACCTCAAAGAACGCATCGCGACTTTTGAGAAAAGGGGAGGCATGCCTATTCCACGGGGCAGTTTTGGCCTAGGTGCCCCACCGTCAACTTCCCACAGCCCGAGCAGGGAACTGTATGGCAACCGCATCATCCGTGCCTCCTCGTCCAAACTGTCGAGCCCAAAGGCTCTTCCTTTGCGGCAACGATGCGTCTCGACTTCGAACATCAACTTCTCCGCCTCTCGACGTCCAAGCATAGGGTCGTCTGATACACAATCCTTATTCGACGGCGATTCGGACTCTGCGTCGTACCTGTCTAGATCTCCCCGTGATTCTCAACTGTCTCTCGAATCCCCAGACGATGTATCCGGAGAGGCGCATCAGGACGAGCCTGACATGCCCAGCCCTGGTTTGGATATTGTGACTGAAGTGAGCGAAACGGCTAATTTCTTTCACTCCCTGACAATCATCTTCTCAGTCGCCGCCACTTGTCAATGTTCAATCCACCGACCCTCCTTCCATTATTATCGACACGCCGCCGATTGACGGTCCGATACCGGAAGACATTGCGCTCAATGCGGATCCTTGCCTGCCCGGCGCAGCGTCAGGACCTGAAGCCATCCATTCGTCGTCTCTCTCTACAGAACTTCCCAGCCACACTCATTCTCCTGACACTCCATCAATTTCCATGACGTGTACCATACAAACTTCGCCTTCCGACCGGCTTGAGACAGCGTGTCCTCCGCCACCAATCTTTGACGGTGCGTTTCACTTCTGCTGGCCTCACTTCATGCTGACAAGTCCCAGTAACATCCACGACAGTTCTTTCCAGCGCAGAGATCACACCGAGCAAACTTCCCGAGGCACCTCCCATCGTCCCTCTGAAGAATCTTCCACCACGGTCAAAATCCAAGTCCAAGAGATTGATTCCCGGTTGGTATGATGATGAATCTGACGAGGACGACGAGGGCGGTTGGGGAAGCGTGGTCATCACAACTCGTCGATACTAGCTTTATGAACTTACTTTACTTGCTTTCTAATCGTCTATTTCGCTTTGACCCAATCTAATGCTTTATTATCATGGCCTAAAAATGTATGTGAGCCAGGGCCGACATTCAATCTGAGAGTGATCGGGGCAAAAACGATTTGACAAAGATGAAACAACAAAAACGACAACGACAGGATTCGAACCTGTGCCCTCGAAGAGGATCAGATAATCGGCTATTCGAATCTGACTCATTAGACCACTCTGACACGTTGCCATGTTGAAAGGCCTGGTCAGAGCATATATGGCCTTAAGGGGGCATCATATAACCGCGTCTCTTTCATGAGAAGCGCGTCGACCGTCACTTGAAAGTGCCCCCATCATGCCTCAACAACCCAAAGGCATTTCCGCCTTCCTGACTGTCGCTTGTTCTTATTCTTGCTCTGATCAGGTACGAAACGCGTCTCGTTCTCCAAAACCGTGAATACGGCCCGCGATGCTCCTGAGGAAGAGCATCACCCTGGAGTCTCTGACAATGAATCAGTCGCGAATGACAACGAGCTTGACGAGGACAAGTGAATTTGACTTGCTCTGGCCCGTTTCTCTCACCCAAGGACATTCCCAGCGTGACCGAAATGCTCAGTCTTTTGCAAGAGTTTCAAAGTCGGCTCTTCCTTTTTCCTACTGTTCCTTCACTTCCCTCTCCAAACAGAACAAAAATCAGCCAAATCTGTATCTCACGCCTCGGCCCTTACGAACAAAAAGGCTACGCTTTTCTCTCAAGCGCAGGCACAGGCACAGGCTATGCGCGACGAGGGCTTGTCATATCTGTTGGATCGACGTTCCTGAGGCTGTCCCGAAACTGACGATGCGCAGGGAGCAATCTCTGGCTACCATTTCAGGTCTCAAAGCTCAACAATCCTCTCCTGATACCTGGATGGCGGACATTGTCCATCTCTTTTCGAGTCGCGTCGTATGGTCTCGTTCTTTTCGTCTCGATCCCCAAACTTTCTCTCTGTAGGCCACCGTTGAAGGCGTGCTGCACCAAAACAAACCCTTTCAGGTCGACGTTTTTGACCCTGAACAACAAGTCATTGATGCAGGATATGAGCGCCGTGTGTTTATCGCTGTCAATTCTGAAAATACGCATTATTCCTTTCTAGTGACCAACCACGGCCTCCAAAGAGGAGCAACAAGGAAAACCTTGTCCAAAACAGCAAAAAGAGAGCTTGCTATCAGTATTGAGCAACAAAAGGTGGGGGAATGTCACCCGGCGTGTCTATATGCTAGTAATTCTGCGTATTTTTTCTAGCTTGCTACTGAAGCCAATGAGCTGATCAAGAATCTGAAGAAACTCGTCCAACTATGAAAGCAAAATGCAGGCGGTCCACGATGTGTCGCAAGAGAGATTAGCTTTGCTTTGCTCGGTCAAGTTGCCCTTTATCACTGCTTGTATCGAGGATTCAGGGAATGTACGTCTCGACGAAAACAGATCGTACCAGTTCACTACTGGAGTGTGATCGCGGTTCAACGCGACTGCCGGGTTGGAGACCCAGATATTCTGCCACCAAAGTCCGGAAAAGTAGATTCCATTTTTTCATAGTCGGCATATCCAAAGCCGATGCGTCATCCTACGAATTCCTCAATGTGCAGTCAACGATGATGTATTCTGAGCTTACTGCCAACGTGTGCCATACATGCGGAAAAGGATTTGCGATGACATGGAGGACGCTGACTCCCCGTTGAATGAAAGGGACATGGTCGTCGCCCATCCCGCCATAATTATGATCCTGAGCATGGCGTCTTCTGAAAAAACTGCGCGTCGTCTCTGCCAAATTGGACGACGACAAGCGATCTTCGACAGATATGAGTTCATCAAATAACCACGCTGTAGACAAGAAATAGGATTGAATTGTCGGATTGGGAGCTCCTAGTAGGTCAAGTAGAATGAGATTGTCGATGGACGAGAGTTGTGTTGGTGGCGGGTGCAAGCGCCTCTTCGCATGGGATTCGATATATTCCAACTCCCACTTTTCAGCGAGGTGTCTCGGACATCTATCAGGCTCAGGTCGAAACACCACAAGACCGGGACATACCTGGCACCGTATATCGAGTCCGTCGCAGTCCAATCTTTGAAGGCTTCCTCGCCATCAAAGAATATGAGTTGCAGAGTAATGTCCTCAGGCGGATCTTCCAAGTCGTCCAGTTCGCCAGCATGATGGCTACGCTTCTCCGTCAATAAAGGATCCAGGACTTCCGCCACGTCCAGGAGAAGTGCACACGGCATCGCCGAGTCCGTAGCTCCTACAAACTATCCTAGGAGTTTGGGATAAGAGTGGGGAATTTTTGTGGCACAGTCACAGACCTGATCGAGAGGATGTGTTTGGAAGAACTTGCTATCGTAGTGAGCGGCCAGAACGACTCGCCTGGCAGCCGTGGGGTCTTTGGTAGCAATAATGTTCGTGAATCTGCGTTCACCGAAGGGAGTGTTGTCCGTAAATGCATCTTCTTCGACTTCCCATTTGAGATTCTGGAGCGTCGAGGTGATGTGCTGTCGGACCAAAGTGTGGTTCACAGTTCCCGCTGTAGGCCTGATTTGAGACTGCTCTGTATATGGGTTGAATTCGCCTACGAGCTCTAGGAATCAGTATTTTGGAGAGATGAGATGCTGGATCTTTCAACTCGAAAGCACTTTCGGGGTCTCGCAATCCAACCAAGTCGCGCAGTTGTTGAGAAGAAAGATGATTAAAGGTGCGAGGCTGGATCGACGCTTGAACAGATAAGAGAAGAAATGGAACCAGCAATGTCATGCAGCATGCAGATAATAGGTTATTCCTGCATCGTCTGCGCTCATGATGAGCCATGACCAGGTCGTGGCCACCTCCACGAGTTGCGGATGGGAAATTCCCGGCCTGTTGCTCGCTCCCGTTATGGTCACCTATAGCCTATGGGTGAAATACTCCGCTGTCCATGATTCAACCACAATAACTGAAAGGGCCTCTTGTGCTGCAGGTCATCAATAAAGCAGGTGGCCTGGTCTATCAGAGAAATTTCGCAGGTTCGTTTCTACGAATTTTGTGATAGCTTTCCCGTCACAACCGCTCCTAGACGGCCTCGCCCAACTATCATCCAACGAATATCTCGTTCTAGCCGGAACGTTGCATGGCATTCATGCTATCACATCTCGTCTATCACCAACCGGCACCAGCTCCGGCGTTCAAGTTATCGAAGGAGAAACTCTGAAGATCACAATATTCCTGACGCTCACAGGTGCACTCTGCTTCCATGCTCCTGTCTGGCCACTGACCGTCGGTTTATCAGGGACCAAGTTCGTACTGGTAACCTCTTTAGCAGACCAGAACAGTGAACCTGTTTTGCGCAAAGTTTATGAAGCGTATGCAGACACCGTAATGAAGAATCCGTTCCAGACACCCGAAATGCCCATCAGAACAGACAACTTCGATCTGCGCATCTCAACTTTACTGGGAGGCTCATGATGTCAAAGCTGCTCGAGTTCTCCAATACATGATATACTCCCCGCCTCTACTATTACAATGCCCTCAGAGTGTCGACAAGATGCAACATATGACCCAACGCAACGAATCCGAAACTCTTCCCGCCAAATTCAGAACCGTTCTCGCCAGATAAACACCATGCCGCCCAGCTTCGTTTGAGCGCTGCCTGTAGCTTTGGGCGACTGCGTTCCACGACTCCAAGTCGAGAGATGAGCAGCTCCACCAAGTGTTGAGACCGGTCTCTGAGGCTCGCGACCTTGTCTTTTCGCAGCCGTGGCTGTGAGCAATTACCGAGAATAGTACCGAGCATGATTTCTTCCTCAGATAACCGGACAGAGCCATCAGTTGAGACAGTACATGTCTCCGCTATGTACTTCAGTTCCGTTTGGTATTGTCTGAAGAGCTCGCGAGTTTCTTCAGAGATGAGGATGCCGCCGAGCGAAAAGATTTGCTCCAACGATTGTCGGAGCGTCGGAGTGATGACGGAGTGCCATGTATTCTCTGCTCCTTCGGTGTCGGTAGTGTTTTCGAAGGCCTTGGTGTCTTCGTCTTCGATCGTTATTGCTCGATATAGATAGCCAATTGCCCTTGTACTTTCGTAAAAATCTTGAAGAGAGTAAACGGCCTCCACTACATCGCATATGACAACATAAAGTCGCTCCTACCTGAGGATCGTGGGGCAGAGACTTCTCCTGTGTTCCAATCGGGTGTGTATGGAATCAGTCTTCTCGGCATCTCCGTTAGATCAACAGCTTGTCCCGTCTGCCTAACTTAAGCCCTAATGAATCAATATTTGATGTCTATGGCACACCTTCGGAAAGTCCACGGCTTGGCTGCACATTTCTGCTAGCTTCAAGCACTTTGGGTCTCTAACTCCAAGCTGTTTATAAATCTACCTGAGCCCCCGGCAACACATTATCATAGAACATCGCTTACTGCGGACTGATCTGCAATTATCAGATGATTATTGCTCAAAAGGCCCAATCTGATCTCAAATTAGAAGCCCGTTTTTGTATACCAATCGATCGTTACGCACACCTAGTGAGGAGATAAAATTGGCGTGTCATAAAGACACAAAAAGAACTCACGTCCGACACGAAATAATCTACGACGAAATCCACAATATCTTCTATTTTGCTGTCATAATCCAACTGTTTGAGAGGGATGGGATCATAAGCTGCAGGTTTTGTGCCCGCGCGATCCTTGCCAATGATCAAGAGGTCCGAATGAAAGCAAATCTCGAAGAGGTCGCTGTTCATCACGTTAGACATATGCGAGCGACGATTCTGGACTTCACTAATGCTAACCCATCCAGATCTCCACCACCCAAGAACGATGGCAACGGTCTGGGTCCTTTGACGGCGCGTTAATGCCATATAAACGAAGACCAACATATTTACCATCGCAACTAAACACCAAGCAGTTGACCAGTTCATGATAATAACATCGTTCTCCTTCTCGCAGGTCAGGCTTTCCCATTGCCCAGACCATTTGCACTGTGGAGGACGGTCACTAAACAGGATAAACTGACCAACAAGATTCTCACCATCTCCCGGGTGGACCGTAGGACTTCTGGACACAAACGCACGTCCTTTCGGGTATTCCAGCTCTCCTGTCTCCGGGTTTCGGACGCAAACTTCTGTGATTCAGTGTCAGGATACTTCGCTCGATTCAGCCGCTCACCGAATACCTGACGATCACGTAAATATTTGACACCCGGCTCATTCTTATGAGCGAAGCCTTCATCGGCTACTCCAACCAG